CGGCCCCGGCCCCGGCCCCGGCCCCGGCCCCGCGCGAGAGGCGTGTGCGGCTGCACCGTGTGCCGGTATGTGCGCGCGCGCGTGCGGGGAGAGACAGTGTACCTGGGGAGAGGGGCGAGATATATATATATAGAGAGAGAAACTATATATAGACAGAATACATCTGTGTATGTATGTATGTATGTGTATGTATATAGAGAGAGAGAGAGTGCGTATGTATGTAGTCACTATATTCTCTGTATACAGAGAGAGACCATATGTATAAGAAGGTATGTAAAGAGAGAATATACACAGGGAGCAAGGGATGGAGGAAATATATATATATATATAGAGAGAGAGAGAGAGCATGAGAGAGAGAAATGCATATGGATATATCTATATAGGGAGATAATATATAGGGGGAGAGAGAAAGTATGCGCGCGTGTGTGTATATGTGTGTGTGTGTATGTGTATATGAGAGAATATATTTAGAGAGAGTGTGTGTGTGTGTGTGTGTGTGTGTGTGTGTGTGTGTGTGGTAAAAGAAAGAGCGGGAGAGAAAGCCGCTGTTCCCTGACCCCGGCGGGGCGGGGCAGTGGGAGTGGCGGTGGTGGCGCAGAGCCGGGGAGCGAGTGACTGGCCTAGGAGAGGTGGGAGGGAAGCAGGAGGGAGAGGAAGGGAGGTGGCGAGGCGGGCAAGACCTACGAGCCAAAACCCGTAGGGACAAAGGTCACAAAAGCTCCTCCAAGGAGCGGGATGGGCACCTGCGGTCGCTGTGTAGGGCAGTTTGTGGATGGTTTCCTTTTCCCGTATTCCCCTTCAAACTTCATTTGCAAGTCCTGGGCTCAGGTTGTTTGCTTTGCTCTGGTTTTGTTTGCTCGTTTTGTCAGTCTGCAGCCCAGGCAGCTGCGCTCCTGCTTCCCACCCCTGCCCTGCACCCTGGTTTTGGCCCCGGCCTGGAGAGGTTGCTTCTAGCCATGACAGGACAGCTACGCCTCAGCATCATTTTGATCTCAGCCTCTCGGCTGCCAGAGCCAAATCATGTTGTTGGTCGGTGTCTTTTATGATGAGGGCACTGGTCTAATAAGAGCAGAGATGAGCGCTTCGGTTGGGGTCACCTAATCTGTAAAAGGGGCACTGAATGATGGTGGCTTCAGCTCAAGGCGTCCCCATGGGATGGCAGAAATCGCTCGGGAAGTCTTCCAAGTTCCCCCCTGGGAGATGACAGGGATATGATTCTCCTGCTACTGGTCTGTTGGGAAAGTCTCTACGAGCCTTTTTGAGGAGAGTAGCCCATAAGGCTGATGCTAGGTGCTCTCTTTTCTCCATCTCCATCCGCTGTCCAGAGGCTAAGAGGGCTAGACCAGTCTACTCTGGTTATTGGGAGAGTTTGGGAGTAGGCTCTGGAGCGGTGAATTCATCCTCCCCATGGACGGCATGTGCCATTGCACTAACAATCATATTCACACAGCGCTTTTCATCCTGATATCATGAAAAGGGCCTGTATCCCATCCCCATGGAGTAGATGGGGAAAGTGGAGGCACAGCCAGGTGAAAGGACTTGTTCAGGTCGGCACAGTGCATCTGTTGCAAAGACAGCAATGGACTCTGTCCCTTGATTCAGAGCCCAGTTGTCTGCAGAGCTAGGCTGGCTCCAAGACAAGTCTCTCTCCTTTAATCCTATTTTTGCCTTATTCATGACTTTAATACAAGCTTTGTAAATGTGAAATGGCTGCATTAAAAAGAAAGCGCCTGTTTGTTGTTTTTTTTTTCATTATGCATTAGAATGAAAACTGCTGTCGGTCCTCTCGAGTTAGGAGTGGTGCAGAGTTGTGGTTTTGCTGTACAGCACAAGAAAAACACTCAGTCTTCAATAATTTGTGTGTGCATGTGAGGAGCTTAGTGGGACTATGCAAGTGGCCAAATCTTTGCAGGGCCTGAGACTTTAGTACTTAATTTGTGCTGGGAAAATGTTGTAGTTAAATATGCATGGATTCATAAAATTCTCCATCCCTGTATTACTTGATAATCCCCATTTCACTCCAGTCCTTTCTCTCATGGTGCATTTTTAACACACAGTTCAGGTTTTCATGACTGTTTTGTGGTCCGGAGTTTTGTACAAAGATTGATGGTGTTGCAAAATCCAGTGCTAGCCTCTGGATTTCTTTTCCTCGGTCTCTCATAGTGCTCTGCAGAAGGACAGAAGGGGGCACTCCCACCACCAGCTGCCCTCATGCAGACCTGATACATTCAATAGATTTTTGCATGGCCTGTTGTTTTAATGGTTGACCAGCTTGCAGACTTGTTCCTGAGCTGTTGGATAGCTGAAAAGCATTGCATGAAATACAAGGAGAAGATGAGCTAAGCATGAAAGAAAAGGCACCGACGAGTCTTAGCTTGCTGTTTTACATTGGAATGCTTCTTTAGGGTACTTCTGGCATCCTTTGATTGTGATAGCATCTCTGAGGGAGAGTTGTGAGCACATGACTAAGCCTTGGGGTTCAAAATAGGCCTTGTTACGTTTCTTGCCTTTAATAAATAGAGCAGAGCCTCACTGGGCACTTATTTTACATTAATCATATTTCAGTTTCCAATAACTAACTTTTAATTAAAGTACGGTTGATACCAACATAACAAACGGACGCATACTAGGCTGTCTTTGTGAATAAAATTCACAATTCCCTTCCTATTCCCTTTATGGCCCTTAGATGCTTTTGTTGCCATTTTAACAGCATACGGTAGCAGCTGTTTATCTTTTTAATATCGCTTTTTGCATGCGTGTTCAAGAAACAAGAATTATTTGAGCAAATGACTCCCTGGTCTCTTAACAACATTTTTTTTTAAGTAACTTGAAAAATAGGAGGAGGAAATGAATGTCTAGATAAGTAGGTGGGAAAAGGTTGCCTAATGCTGAGGTGGCCCCAAAGCTCCTTGAAGTTAATGGGAGCCTTTTCATTGATTTCAGTAAACTCAGTTGAGTGTTTGGATGCGACCCTGCAGAGCATGCAAGAATGTGCTTCTGGCCCATTGAAACCAGTGGAAGTCAAGCGTGTGTTTAAGTGGTTAGTTGAATGGGAATGGGTTGCATGCACTTGTGTCCAAATCGCCTATTAGTTGTATAGTAACTTTTATACTTGTGTAAATCTATAAGGTACCACTGTGCCCTGCCTCCTACTGAAGTCATTAGTAGCTCCTGAATTGCATCCAAACTAAACAACATCCGAGGAGTTTTACTTTAATTCACCAGAAAGACTTTTAAAGAGTCTGGAAAACCTGCTTGTGCAAATAGTCACGCCGTTGGAGCACAAAAAGGATAAAAAACGTGATGTGTACAAACTCCCTAGGTTAGCAAGAGTTAGAATGAACGCTTGAGAGTATGATCTTTGGATTATAGTTAATTTCTGGTTAATTTGACAGGTAACTTTTACTGAAAGGACTATTTCTGATGAAAAGATCTAGTTTATTTTGGGTTTGCTTCTGACAGTGTATTTTAATGTGTTCATCACTGTTGTGCATCTAACAGCCCAAACGTTTATTGTGATTTACCATCTGGTATGTGGGAGTTCTATGTGATTCCTAATTTTAGTTGACAGCAACCAGTTTGGGAGGATTTTGTTCTAAATTGTTGAGGAATTTTTAAAAGTTGCCAGTGAAAGTGGGTTTCCTTTGTATTCAATCAATGCAAGACTTTGTCTCTCTAATTGGAAATCTTCATTGCTTCTCAGATTTTCTATCTTAAATAGCTTCACCTCTTCCAGGCAAACGTTTATAGAAAGGACTCCTTCAGTTGGATGAAGACAGGATGTTTATTATTATTATGTACTAGAGTATAGACATTGTATTGCTGTTATTTCTCCTGGCATCAACATAATATAGCTAACTAGCTGTAAGCTAGTATTTTTAACAAATGGTTTTATGACAGCACAATTGAAGAGCTACAGGATAACTGGTGGGTTGTATGAGTGGTAGTTGCTATTTCACTTCTGAAAGTTGTGTAGCATAGTGTGATGCATTGAATTCTCCCAGGTTCATAGTAATAACTTGTTTGAAGACCAGGACAATCCACTGGGAAACAGTCCTTGACAAATAATTGGTTTTTTCCTTTCAAGTTTCTTCTCCTCTAGTGGTTGTTCTCTGCCGGTGGAGGAAAAAAAATCTTTATTTCTTCTGGACCTTATTTTTAATTTGCCAAGCAAAAAAAATGTGTTGTTTATTTTAATTAAATTTCAGGAACCAGCTTTCCTGTCCAGTAGCCATTTTCTCTGAGTTCTGAAGAATTTTCCTTTTTTTTCCTTTTAATTAATTTTGAAGCTGGCTTGTACAGACGAGGAGTGGCGTTATTATTTCTATTTAAAGGAAGCTTAAGCTGAATTCTGGGCTTGGAAAAGTTTTGTCAACAAGATCTAAAAGTGTTAGGAGCCTAGACCCTCTTTCCAGTCCATAGAGAGACAAAAGATTGGGGCTGAGAATGGTTTATAGCTGTTTCCCAGGGGCAAAGTACATCCACTGATGAAAGGATGAAAGGACTGTGGTGGTGGTGGGCCTCAGACTACAAGGTGGCTAAGCCTGAAAATGCATCTGCAAGGCTCAATCAATGGAAAGGAGGAAGAATCTAATAAACATAGAGATAATACTGGGAATACCTAAGGAAATCTCTGCAGGAAGATCCTGCTGACTTTTAGTGAAGGCCCATTTCAGAGAGGAGCTTCACTGCCTCTTGCTTTTCTCCTTGCAGTCCCTCCCATCTGTGGCATTTGATAAACAAAGGGCAGCAGTGAGGGGTGCTGTGCAATCATTGCTGCTTGCATTTGCCCTTATAGATAGATCCTCTTCATTCAAGGATCTTGAGGAATTTGAAAACCCTTAACTGATCAGTAGATTTCACAATATCCCTTTGGGTTTAGATAGGAACGTAATGCTTCACCTGCTGGTGACGTGCAGCCCCTCCTTGGGATAGAGCATGCCAGTCCTTTGATAGTGTGCTGCTATAAAACAGTTAAGGAAGACAGAGAGAAGAAGAAGAATATTTTGGCCAAATAAAACCAAATGGATAGAATATAATTGTCTGAGCTGAAATGTGGCCAGAG